ACCAGCAGTTTGCAGGAGGTTGGCGAACACCTCCCGTACTTTGTTACCATAGAAACTGTCACATGTCGTACGAAGCCAGCTTTAGAGGAAGAATGACCGTCTCTATATATGTATATATATTGAAGATAAGTCAATTTATAAAGTAATTCACATGCAAATTGGGAGGTAGAAAGAGTTCGCCTAAGGGCCTAGGTGCAAAAGGGTTCTGTATGTACAGGACTTGGGAAAAATAAAATTTCGAAAATATCCTTCGTAACTGTCCTAATCAATCGTTAAAAGTTGCGCTGCAACGTGCTGCCTGCAACTTGAAGGAGGTATTCCCTGGCTTCGGAGCGTCGGAAGTAACCCAACTGACGCTGGGCCTCTTGAAAGTGAAATTCAGCCAAGATGCGTGTCTGTCCTATTGCGTTCGACTAGGTAAGAAAGAAGGAAATGATAAGAACTGAAAATGCAAAAGCAGTCCATGACTATCAGGCCGACTACAAGAAAGTCAAAAGTGACTTAAATCATTATTCGGCGGCTGAATGACTGGCCGGCGTACTTGAATTCACAGACTTGGCACGACATTTGCTTGTCACAAAAGCCAATGTTACAGAAGCACCTGCAAAGTAATTACTTTACCCGAAGTGGTTTAAGCTGTCCAGTTAACATTCTGTGGCACAAATGCAGTAGCCGATGCGAGAAAACACACTAGGATGTGTCAACCGAAAGATGAAAACTAGAGCCCGAATCCCAGTCGAGGGCTCGTGGACACAACAGAAGCTCAGAAAGGCCACTCTTGAGATATTGATAGTTGGACGGTCTTAAGCAAACAAGTGTCTCATGAAGTAAGCGCAACAGCAGTGACTTTACATTGGGGCAGACTTACGCTGCATCTAGCGCACGTCCTCCTTCTCCAGCAACCTGGCTTCATCGGCATGAAAAATGTCAAGATGACCCGCGGGCAGGCTAGAGCGTCTGGCTGACAAAACCATACAGCTGGTCTATGCATGCCCCCCACACA